TGAGCTCCTCACTCACCAAACGGGCAGGCGGGGCAGCCTCGCGGACCCCCGCTCCCAGGAGGGTCTGCCCTTGGTCCTCCTGCCTGTAATCGGAGAGTAGGAAGCCCCCGACTCTGGAGTCCGTCCTGGGAAGGCCCACAGCCCCCACAGTGCACGAGGCAGGCCCAGAGGCCACAGTCATCCCAAAAGACCGAGGCGCCCCTGTGGTTGGGTGCAGGGGGAGGTCAAACCTGGAAGTTGAGTGATTCACTGTGTGAACACAAACGCCCCCGGAGTCAGCCACTTTGAAACTGTGGCTCCGACTCTGCGCGTGGCCACTCTCGGCCGACCTAGACAGGCTGTCGGCGCCCCACTGCAGCCCTGCAGGGACGTGGCCCGGCCCGCCGGCACAATGGCCCTGCGGCAGCCACACCTGACCCCACCGACTGCCAAGGGCAGCACGACGGAGGCCAGAGGGCAGAGTCAGAGCCACCACTCACCCCTCCATCTGACGCCCCAGGCCTTGCCCTCCCAAGGGCCAAGGTGACCCCAGGCCACGCAGACACCCCCTGCCCCCTCCTGCAGGAAAGCAAGGCTGTGGAGATTTCGGGAACTATCTTCGAAGGAAGGGCTTCGTGCAGCTAAAGCAGGGTGCGTGAGACACAGCCCGCGGCCACCCTGTCCGCTCAGGCCGGACGCGGAGCACAACCGGCCACCCAGGTGCGGGAGAGCCACGCACGGCGGGCCACTGCGGGCTTGGCTTTTCTGATTCCCCAGAGAGCCGACCAAGTTCCTCGAAGGCTGGACCCTGAGGACAGCTTCCCAGGGAAGCCCAGGTGCTCACAGGGGTGCCCCCAGCTGCAGGGTCAGCAAGCACCCCTCTCCTGATGGCCAGCAGGACTCTCGAACGGCCTGGCCACACCACGCGGGCACACGGAAGGGCACAGGGAACCTGGAGTCGGGGGGGATCGAGGTCAGAGGCAGTTGGGGACAGGTTAGCCCTCGACCACACCCGCAGGACAGTGGCTGAGCTGCTCCAAAGGACTCAGGCCAGGCGAGGGCCTCTCTGGCCGCCGGCTTCAGGACGGCAATGCTACGGCAGGCGGCAGGAGCCCACGGGTGCTGGAACTGTGCCCCAGCCCCTCGGGGGCAGGCAGCGCTGGCTGCCTTCCCCACCACTACCCCCATGAGGCCCAGGCTCCCGGAGCAGCAGCAGCTCCCAGGCCTGGTCACAGCGGCTGGCCGAGAGCCGCCCTTGGTGGCGTCTGGTCCTCAGGGCAGGGGTCAGACTCCCACCCTCCGACACAGGGGCAGCGCCGCAGGGAGCCTGGAGGCTGGCTCCCTCTCTGTTGAGACATCATCCCAATTTAGAAACAGAGCTGCCCTTGAGCCGGGGCCAGGGGCCTGCCTCCTGCCCCCAGGCCCTCGGGGCCAGCCGCCTGCCTCTACTTCTCAGAGCAGCCGCCTCCAGCCCCACCCAGGGTCCCCCACCCACTGGCTTCCTGCTCAGAAGGCAGGACCCACCAGAGCATAGAGGCTCCAGGCAGGACCTCAGACCTCGGTCTTGCTGGGCTGGCGTGGGGGGTGGGGAGCAGGTCACACTGGGTCTCCCGGGGCACCTGTCGGGCCAGCCCCAAAGTGGCCGTCCTGACTTCAGGTCTTCCACCAGCCCAGAGAGGGTGGCCAAGGGCCCTGGGGGTTCCAGGCTAACCCTTCATCTGCACTCCCCACCCAAGCCCTCCAGGCTGACTCACTCTCTCCTCTCCCCGAGGCTCTCCTCTAGCCTCTCTTTCATCTGGAAACCCCACCCTGAACCATCTGCACGTCCCCAAACCTTCCCCAGCCCACAGGCCCACCTCCTCCAGGAAGCCCTCCAGGCTGCCCAGCTCTCTGTTCGGCTGAGTCCTGAGTCCCAGAACTGCCTCAGAGACCTACCCAACCCACCCGTCTTACAGGTGAGGACACTGAGGCCCAGAGGGGAACCAACGCCAAAGCTTCTGGAACCGAGAAGCTACCAGAGATAACCCAGACCTGAGTTCTCCACCTGCTTGTGTCCCATGAGGTCAGGTGAGATCGAGTCCCAAGACAGGACTGGCGGCCCCGTCATGGTGCACAGCTGGGTTGAGAGGTCATACACTCCTGGGGCTGTGTCTCCTGCCCGTTTTTCCTTTAAAGATCCCGTGACGGCAGCCAGGCAGCACGTGTGTGGGTGGCGGGGGGGCATCTACCGCTCACTAAGAGCACACACGTGTGACCTGGGTACCGAAGGGGGACAGAGCTGTGTTGTCCGCGGGTGCAAACCTCCCCCAGGGGACGGACAGGACCCCAGGAGCCCATGGGTCGAGGGCTTCCTGCGGTACACAGCCCTCCTCTGCTGACTGCTGGTGTTGGGCCACGGGCGGGGGGCATTCGTCCGCAGGGTGTCCCCACCCCAGGCCCCTGGACGGAGCTCGGGCAGGCGGCGCAGGCAGTTACCCCAAGAGCCTGGGACAACCCCGGTCACCAGATCACCCACCCTCACGCCCGCAGGCCCAGCAGACCTGGCCTTGGGAGAGACAGCGCTGCCAACCCCTCTCCCACGGGGGCGCTGGGCCTCACCTGTGCCGACCCCTGGGACCCGCAGAAAATCACTCTCCCTCCCCACCTGGCACATGGAGTGACCAGGGTCCAGGATGCTGCCCAGGGTCACACGTACATGACACAGAAGCTAGTTCTGGCCACACCAAGGGGGGCCGAGCCCTGCAGGCTCAGGCCCCCACCCTGGGCTCCGCCAGCACAGGCCCCCTTTGTGTCCCTGCCTTCCGCCTTCCTGGGGGGGGGGGGGGGGGGGGGGGGGGGAGGTGGAACAAAGCGCTAAGCCACCGCCTCCCCCACAGGCCACAGCCCCCGGGAGGGGGCAGGCAGAGGAGGGGCTCTTCCTAGGGGCCCCCTCCCCCTCTGCACTCCACAGTCAGCCCAGTGGGATGCCTCCCTCACCCCATGCTTTGATTCAAATGAAAGAATTTGGGGGAACCAGAAAAAAATATGGCTTTTATTTTCAAAACTGGAATCAATTATAATTGGGGGGTCGTTAAATATTCCCAACTGGACTGAAGCCCATGCCCGCCTCATCCAGAGCCAGATGGAAAGACAGGAAGGTGGTGCTGTCGGGGTGCGGGCAGGGGCACAGGCAGGGGTGCCCCTGCACGTGCAGCCCCGCACACACAGCCCTGCACATCCATCCCTGAACACCTGCCCCTGCACACCTGCCCCAGCACACCCGCCCCTGCGCATGGGGCCCTGCACACCGGCCCCAGCACACCCACCCCTGCACAACAGGCCCTGCACGCCTGTCCCGGTACACCCACGCTTTGCACCCAAACCTGCTAGCCCACACACCCTACCCAGCACACCCGCTCTGCACTCCCCACCCAGCACACCCACCTCTGTACAACCCACCCTGCATACCCAGCCCTGTCTGTCTAGCCTGCACAGTGAGCCCTGAATGTCCAGCCTTTCTTCCAGGAGACAGGACCCCAGGAGGACACCCAGCAGCTGCCGCCCGCCAAGGGGCTCAGGGTCCTAACGTCAGGAGGTCCGGCTGAGGCACCAGGGCATGGGGCAGGAGCCCCCCAGCATCTGGAGGGCTCTCGACAGCAGGCCTCACTCCATGGCCCAGGCCTCGGTCCTCCCAGCCCACGGAGCCCCCGAAGAAGCAGGATCGAGGAACCAGCTCAGCCAAGAACCTTCAGGCTAACAGAGGGCATTGGGTACGCAAGCGCAGTCTCCTGACCACTCCTCCAATCCTCAGCACCCCAGCGGCCGGCCCCCGTCTCAGAACCCAGGGACCCAGCCGTTCCCAGGACCCCTGCCCTCGGCCCATGCTGGAGACAGAGGGCAGGCCACCACAGGGGGACACACAGGGACCAGCCAGCGGGCAGGGTCCCCTGTGCAAGCGGGGGCCTCCTGTTCCCCACAATTAACTGACACCTGCCCCCTTCCCCGCTGCCCGCTGGGCTCCAAGGCACTGGAGCGTGGCGCAGGACGTCCGCCCTGGCGTCCACCTGGAGGGAGGCGCAGCCGCTCGCCCGGAGCAGGTTCAAAGCCCCGGAAACTGTCCGCGGGTATTTCATTTCAGCGGGCGGCACGGCCGGCGCCTATCCCGACGGGACCCTGAGGGCTCCGTGCTCATGAAGACACTGGACAAAGCAGGAAACCCCAGCGAAATGCTCACGCCTCCCCATCACCAAGAACTCGGAGGAGCGTCTGTGGGGCCTCCTGACTTCCCATCCGCTTGTGCTCCTCTTTACAAAAACGCAGTCAGCCCGGCGGCCCCTCGAAGCCGGACGCCCCGCCCGGCACCCAGTCAGTATCCCCCGTGGGCACAGCCCCCAACGTGGCACGACTTAGCTGAAGGCCCCACGTCGGGGCACCGAGCCCCCAGCCCGGAGCGGCACCCGCGAGCCGCCAGCTCCAGTACCCCCGGTCGGCGCCAGGATACGTCCCCCTGGGAAGGGCCAACTGGCCCGGCTGATAATTTCCTTTCTCCTGCGCTTTCTCTTCCCTTTAAAAACCTTTCCTTTCTATGAGATGGGATTCTGCCTGACTCGAGTCAGTTAATAAATCCAACGAGGTTTCGAAAATTCACTCCGTTGGGTTTCTGTTCAAGTGCGGGCAGCGTAGACGGGTTTCCGTGATGTATCCATTTACAGAGGTGTCCGGTTTCCCCGAACCAGCCGCCTCCAGTAGGGCCCAGCACGCCCCCACGTCGTTCTTCGTGAAGGACGCCAGGGTCCCCAGCACGGCAGGAGTGCTGCTTAGAGACGCCGGGCCAGGCCACTTCCCAGCTGCCCAGCACCCCGGGCAGCCCCTGCCCATCTCTCTGGAGGCCACGACTGGCGGGGGGGGGGGGCCTCTAAGATGACGGCGTGCAGGGCGTCTGTGGGGGGAGTTCCAGGGTTGCCCCCCCCACCAGCAAGGTCAGACAAGCCGCAGGAGCAGGGCTAGGCAGTGGAGGGGAGAATGCCCAACCGTCCACTCACCATACTGGCAGCGGGGGCCCTGGAAGGCTCGGGGACAGTAGCATAGCTGGGCGGAGCCAGGCATGCAGTGGCCACCGTTGAAACAGATGCCCGCGCTGCAGTGGGCTGTGGAGAGAGGAGAGAAAGCGTGAGAGGACGGGCAACAGCCCAGGGGCAGCCACAGCCCACCTACAGGACACAGTGTCCTTGGGGACCCTAGCCCATGTCCCCCAAGAGGCAAAATCTCGGGCTGGACAGGACCCAGAGCCCCGCCACAGAGAGGACAGCCCTCCTCCCACGGAACCCCAGACTGCACCTTGAGAGCTGAGCCCCGAACCCTGGGGGATAGGGGGCATCACCCAGGCCGGCAACCCCGACCCTGCCATCGGGTCACCGGTCCCAGCTCTGTTCTGTCCTGGGTCACACACTGGCACTGCCACCAGAGCCTGAAGTCCCCCCTTTCATTTTCTCGAGGAGGTGGGGAGGGAGAGGCAGCAGGGGAACAGCCCACTGCTGAGGACCCCAGCCCTTCTGCTCACACCCGAGGGTGCCAACCATCGTCCCTAGGAGGGACAATGCCGGCGCAGGCCAGCAGAGCCTGGAAGGAGGGATGGAAGGAGGGTTCTGGGCTGGGGCGGGCAGGCCCCCTCCTACCTCTCTAGAGGAGACCCCTGCCCCCAGACCGTTCCCCACACTTCACCCCACTGGGCAGGAGGCTGCCCACCCATGGCGTGGGGGCCAGTGAATCCCATCGTCCCATCGCAGCACAAGTGTGAGGGGTGGGAAGCTGCCTGTCCACGACACTGGGCAGGCAGCCCCCAAGGACCCCGCAGCCCCAAACTGCCCGCCAGCCCCATCACAGCGAGGACCCTGACCCTGGCTGGCCTGGGTACCCCAGCACCCATTTCCTGGCCCTGCAGCCGCCTCCCATCATATCCCCATGCACAGGGGGGGTACGGTCAAGGTGGGAGACTGGTCCCCCACCCTGGGACCCCACCAGCCTGGGCCTGAGCCTGGAGGCTTCAGGGGTGCTCACTGGGTGAGGGGTTGCTCGGCACAATGACTACCCCCAAAGCCTCCAGGAGCCTGGCGCGAACCATGGGCTCACTGACTTCATGGGTCACTTCGTGGGTCCCACCAGGAGCAGGAAGAGAAACTCCAGAAGGTGGGAGGCCTGCCAGAGGGCTGTCGGCCCAGCACATGGGTCCAGGCAGCCTTCTGGGATGGATGCTGCGCTTGGTAAGGAAACAGAGGCTCAGAGACAGGTGGCACACGGCCCCAGGCCACACAGCCCGTGAGCAGGGACCAGGCCCCAGGATCCTCTGCGTTGAGCCTGGGGTCAGGAGGGCCCTCTGTGGAATGCTTCCTCCTCTCTGTCCCCTAACTGTGGCCGCTGTTCCAGTATTGGGGGCAGTGCTCCCCTTTGCTCCGGCCCCCCTACGAGTGAACTCCCAGCCTCCTCCCTCCAGCCCTGCACCTGAGTCCGGAGGGCGTGTCCGAAATGCGCAGGAGTGGGGGCTGGGGGCGAAGTAGCGCTGCAGGGGTGTGGGGGGTGGGGGCTGGGGGCGAAGTAGCGCCGCAGGGGTGTGGGGAGGACATGCGCGGTGACCCCGGAGCCCACACAGGGAAGGCCGGCCGAGGGGCCAACCTGGGGCGCGGACAGCAGCAGCGTCCCAGAGGCTAAAGGCCCGGAACCTAGCTCCAGGGTACGTGGAGCCCACCTTCCCCCAGCACCCCAGCCCCACGGGGCCAGTGAAGGCCACTGTCACTGCTCGCCCTGCTCACCCGCTGAGCACAAAGCCCCCCATACCGTGAGCTCACCCCTCAGACCCCGGGGCGCTCTGGGCTGCCACCCACCAGGACAACCGGCATCATCCCCAAATGTCACACACCATATGCACCCACAGCATGGCCCTCTCCCTACTGTGCCCACGGACTCCCTGAGAGCGAGCGTCGACCCCATCCTGGCCGCCACCCGCCGCGCTCCGGGGCCCCGCCCACACGCAGACCCCGAAGGCGCCGACGAAGGAAGAAAAGCACTACAGGCGGACAGGGTCGGGGGTGGCCAGGCCGTCGCGGGAGGACAGAGCTGGGGTGTCCCCAGACGGAGGGATGCGTAGGGCAGCACAGCCACAGAAACGAAAACGGGAAAGACAAAGATACATGACTATGCCCCAAACCGAGAAGGGGCACCCCCGGGGAGGCTGGCGGGATGCAGGAGTAGTGGGGGGCTGCAGAGGGAAGCCAGGGGGGCAGAGCCTGCTTGGCGGGCGTGGAGCTGGGCTGTGGCGAGTGGTAGAGGAGGGGGCCTCCCCTGCGTAACCCCACAGGGTGGGCTGGGCTGCATGACAGGGTCTCCCTCCCCTGTGTCAGGAGGGTCACCTCCAGCGGCAGGGCACAGCCCCACTCCCACCACGCCTCCGAGGGGGCAGCACAGACAGCAGACAAGGACCCCAAAAACCCCGACCAGAGGCCGAGGAAGGACACGCCCCAAGCAAGCACGGGAAGGACTCACGCCCAGGCAGGCGGAGCTCAGGAGCCAGAGCCGGGCTTTTAGACCCACGTGTCTGACACCCGCGGTGAGACCCAGGCGACCCCGTGTGGGAAGAAGCGCCAGGTCAGCAACAGACACCGGGAAAACCTGACCCGTGGCCGTGAACGGAGGCTGGATGGGCGCCCTGCAGACAATTTAGAGATTTCCGAGCAATAAATGTGTTCTCTACTTAACATTAGTGTATTTTTTTGAAACACCTACTATGTTCCCAGGGCCGGGGCCGGGGGTCTCCTGGGGACCGTCCCTCAGACTCAGCTTGGCCAGGCCTGCGGCCACAGGACCTTCAGAAGCCCTGAAGGAACCGCCTCCCAAGAGTCAGAAATACCAGGGCCGGTGCAGGTGACCCGGGACGGGGGCGCCCACAGGGTCCGCTGCCGTGGGCGGCCCCCTTCTCCGAGGGCCGAGCCAGCAGAGGGAGGGCCCGAGCCGGGGAGTCCCACGGGGCTGGAGAAGACTCCCAGGAACCATCATGCACACATCTCCCTCTGCCCCAAACCCCCAACGGCTCCCCACGGCCCAGATGCCTTAGCAGGCAAGGCCTGCGCACACGTGTTCTGTCTGGTGTGAGTCGGTGGGTCAGAAACTGGTTAAGGGCACCTGGAGCGACTGCCTTCCGCTCCGGTCATGATCTTGGAGTCCCGGGATCGAGTCCCGCGTTGGACTCCCTGCTTGGCGGGAAGTCTGCTTCTCCTGCTGGCCTCTCTCCCTCTCATTCTCTCTCTTGCTCTCTCAATAAATAAATAAAATTTTTTGAAAAAAGGAAGAAACAAACAAACAAACTCGGGTTAAGCTCCAGGCCGGGCGATCTGCACACATGGACACACTCTTCTCAGCGACCTTCATTCCGCCAAGTGTCTGCTCCACGGCCCGCCTGAGCCAAAGCTGGACCCGCTGCCCGCAGCAGCCCACCCGCAGGGTTGATGGGGTCCCCGCCCACCATCTGAACCAAGAAGGAGGAACATTGGCCTCCCTGGTGTGCAGAGTGGGGCTGGAGGCGCTGGGACGGGGGCCGCTCACAAAGCACCCCCGCTGCCCCAGACCTTGGGGCCTTGGGGTGACACAGGGTAGGTCTACCCACATCCCCAGAACCAAGGCTGGTGGGGCCCCGAGGGGCGTCCAGTCTGCAGGATGATGGATTTGGGGAGCACAGTCCCCAGTGTGAAGGCAGCACGTCTGGACACCTTCCTTCCTTCCCTTCTCCCTCCTTCCTTCCTTCCTTTTCAAAGATTGGTTGATTTTAGAAAGAGAGCACACAGGTGTGCGTGCACACTCATGGTTGGGGGAGGGATGAGGGTCCCCATTGAGCACGGAGCCTGACACGGGGTTCCATCTCATGACCCATGAGATGACCTGGGCCAAAACAAAGAGTCGCACGCTCGACCGACTGAGCCACCCAGGCGCCCCTGACACCTGTGGCATCTTAACGCCGGCCATGCTCTCTTACGGTGGGCGCCACGAAACACCTGCCCTTGGCTGGACCTCACGTGACCCTGCTGCAGGAGCGGGGGTGGACCCTGTCCTGGGACGGGCTCACTGTGGTGACGGGGCTCCGCTCCCCTGCAAGCACTGGGCTTCTGCCCATGTGGACCCAGGCCACATCCCCGAACTGCCATGTGGCTGGCCCATGGGCCCTGCTCTTCTCTTCCCTAAGCAGCTGCCTGCTGGGGTGGCCTCAGGCGGGGCAGGTGTGATCCGGGCGCGTAAGTTTCTCCTGGTCTCCGGGGCCACCCCCACCCCCACAGGCTCTGAACACAGGGCCTAGCTCACCAAACGTGCGTGCGGCACAAACGTCAGCCTTCTCCCCCGCACCTCTGCCCAAGAGGCCCACGAGCCCCACGTGCGTTCTGTAGCTCCAGCAGGCCAGGGCCGGAGGGACCGGCTCAGACCCAAGGCAAAGCTCCTGGCCCGGGCCCTCTCTCTCACGGTCCGTCCCAGCTGCTCGGCCTCCTACGGACTTCCCGTGCCGAAGCCTCTGGCTCCCGTCCGCTCCCTGCCATGAGGGCCGGGCCCAGGAGCAGGGGAGCCCCGTCCCCGTGCCAGCGCCCCCTCGGCATCCCCCGAGGAGGGGCAGGGCTGTCTGCTGGCTGGGGCTGAGGGCACCTCCTGGCCAGGCCTGCACGCGAGCTCAGCCCCTCCCTGCAGCCCACAGAATGTTCAGGATGAAGCCTGGGAGGGGCCTCTCCGGGCCGGAGCTCCTCCACCACAACGGGGATCAGCCCACCACCGAGGTATGTGGTAGGTGTGGGGGCCCACATGAGCTCCCAGTGCGGGGCCTGGCTCGCAGAAACCTGAGAGAGGAGCGCCCGGGTATGGGTTGGGCCTCTGCCTTCGGCTCGGGTCATGACCTCAGGGTCCTGGGATCGAGTCCCGCATCGGGCTCTCTGCTCAGAGGGGAGCCTGCTTCCTCCTCTCTCTCTGCTGGCCTCTCTGCCTGCTTGTGATCTTTCTCTGTGTGTCAAATAAATAAAATCTTTTTAAAAATTTAAAAATTAAAAAAAAAAAAAGAAACCTCAGAGAGGCCTGATTGAACATAGGCTCCCAGTCCGACCCCCGCAGGTCCGCAGGTCCCTGGCTCCCAGGTTCGGCAAGGGAAGCAGTGGCACCAGCACCAGGCCCGGTCCTGCCCGTGGCCGAAGCCACCAGGCCAGCCAGAGACAGGCTGTGTGCTACACAGCCCCGGGGCCCAGAAGCTCTCCCGGGGCTGCTGGGGCACAGACAGCAGGGCGGAACCCCAAGCGGACACACGCGTGTTCCCAACGATCCCGCAGCAACCGGCCTGGGAAGCCAGCACCAGGCAGAGCTGGGGGGTGGGGGGAGCCCAGACAGAGGGGGTGACGGTGAAGACGGCACAGTGCACCGCAGGGTGGCGGGATGAGCACCGTGGCTCGGGGCAGTCCTCAGTCATCAATCAAGCCACAGGGTAGTGTCTCTGAAACCTCCCCCAGGTGCTGGCAGAGCCACCCAGAGTGGCCGGGAGCGGGGCCCTCAGTGCCCGCCTCCCAGCAAGGGGCAGCTACAGGATGGAGGCCACGTCCCTGGGAGCCCAGGGGGCAGGACAGGCCCTAGGTCCCTCCTGCTTTGTCCCTCCATTCTGCTGGAGGCCTGCTGGCCTTCAACCCAATGCCAGCTGGAAGCTGGAGGCCGGGACCCCAAGCCCCCAGCCCCACCTCCCCTCGTCCCAGACCCGTACTGCAGGGAGGCAGTCACCCCGGCCCCGGGACCCCGCGTTGGATGACAGAGCCGCACGGGGGAGGAGCACATGCTCAGTGTGTGGGCCGTGAGCCGCGGCTGCCAGTGCGAGCGGATGGTGCAGGCGGACGTGCAGGCGCTGCCGCGGCTGTGAGCACCGCACACACGCGTTAGCGGACAGGCACGTGGTGCACGTGTGTGAGCATGAACACGTGTGTCCAGTGCCCGCATGTGTGTACGTGAGCCCATGTGTGCATGAGCACGTGGTGTGGGCACATGTCTGAGGGTGAGCGTGTCAGCACGTGGGAGACCATCCACGTGTGAGTGCGTGTGACTGCACACACACACAGGTCCGTGTGAGCGTGAGCACGGGCGTGGACCGTGCACGCACATGTGAGGCTGTGACGTGGGTGAGCTCCCTGGGTGGACAGCATGCCGGCCCAGTGCACGAGTGTGCACGAGCATGCAAACGTGCCTGATGCAGCCCCATGAGTCCGGCTGTGACTCCACATCTGGAGACAGCTGGCGGGGTGAGGGGTTCGCTGCAGAGCAACACGGCCCCAGCAACCGTGTGGGCGTCCACGTCCACAGCAAGGACAGGACAGCCAGAGCGCTGGCCGTGCAGATTCCCACGCTGGGCGCGGGGCTGACACGCGTCCGGAACGGAAAAGGAAAAGTGAACCGCGAGGCAGGAAGGCAGAGGCAGCCGTCCCCGGGACCCCCAGCAGTCTTCCTGCTACTCATTCCCGCAGCCCCAGGATCACAGAGGAGACGGCCGTGTCCCAGGAGGGAGGAAGGCTATAGGGCACGCCTGCGAGCTGGTCAGCAGCCCTGGCTTCTGTCCCGTGGGCCCACCACATGGCCCATCCCAGGCTCCTGTGACAACAAACCACGTCAATCCCCCCCCAACTCGTGTGAAGCCCTCATAGGCCACAGATCTCCCCCAGCCGGCCTGGCATGCCCTGGGCGGTAAGAAGCCACGAGCGACCACGCTAGGCCAGGACAGCCTGTGGGGAAAGCTCTGGATGGCTGCCCTACAGTGCCCTCCGCAGGCCGTGGTCGCCTCTGAGGGTCAGCTCCAGAGTCAAGGGCAAGGCTGTGCCCCACACAGCCCGGGCACACGTGGGGTCCTGAAAGCCCAGCCACGGCCACACCGTGTAGACCTAGTTCCCACTCCATCCACACGTCCAGAATCCGGCCACTTCCCACCGCGTTCCGCCACCCCCCAGGACCAGGCCCAAGCTGGCTCCTTGACGGCCCAGCGTCTCCTCTGCCCCCTGCAGCAGACCGTGTCCCTCCCCCAGCCAGACCCTGCACGGGCTTCCTGTCCTCACCAGGGCCCCGGGACCTCAGAAAGGGACCTTACTTGGAAACAGAGTCTTTGCAGGCGTGACGAAGGCAGGGACTGAGCTCACACAGATCCCGGCAGGCCCTGCTCAGAGACAGAGGAGGACACACGGGCAGAAGGGGGCTGAAGCAGCCCTACGCCGGGGAGCACGTGGGACGGAGCAGGAAGGCTCCCCCACACTGGGGCACTGGGATGCACACTGGGATGGGACAGAGCAGGAAGGCTCCCCCACACTGGGATGGCACACTGCCGCCCTCCAGAGAGCCAACCTGAGCTGTTCCAAGTCCCGCCCAACCCCCCAACGACCCCCCAACCAGCCAGACGCCCCTCCCCCAGCCGTCCCCGGAGAGAGCGGCCATGGGCTGGCACAGAACCACCATGTGCTTGTCCACTTGTCCGCTGCCACAGCACTGCAGTTCCGCTGGAGGGAGGGCCAGTCCCGGTCTCTGTCACAGCCACTCCTGTGCCTGAGCACAGTGCAGAGCTTGCTGTCAGACCTGCACGGACGACAGTCCCGCCGCTCGCCCGGCTCCGGCTCTGTTTCCCACGCGTGCCTTAGGGACACTGTTTATTTTTTCAACTTTGTTGTATCTTTTTATTCCTTTCTTTTTAAAGAAAGGATTGCTTTGGAAAATACTACATAGCCTTTCTCAGGAACCCACAGGCCACATTAGCATGTTAAATGCTCTGATAAGTCCTGCAACGAGGCAACCTGCTTTATTGTGCTTTACACGGAGCTTCCCAGACCACAGAACCCTTTGCCGTCCCACGTTGCAGGCGTGACTCCGCGCACCTGCTCAGGGTCTGCCATCCGTCCTGCAGCCTCCTCAGATGCCCGGGGCTCAGGCTGCACAGACTTAGGGCAGGAGCCACGGGGCATCTTCCTGGCACCTCATTAGGGTCTGCAGGCAGCACCTTCACGCTCAGGCTCCCTTAGATGAGGGGGAGCCAGGGCCCTGGGCACGGGGGTGTCCAGGAAAGCCACACCCCACTGAGAGGGACGTGGAATTAAGAGAGGGGCTGGGCGGGAATCGGGCACCCCAACAGCAGAAAGGGTCAGCGCCCAGCTGCTCGTGGGGCACGCATGTACCACGCAGACCTGAGAAAGCCCCCTGGTCACCAGGCAACGCCGCCCCACCCAGGCAGCCTTTTTCCTTTCTGGTCACCTCCAGGTCACCCATGCCACTGAGTGCGTCCCTGAGAAATCACAGGGACCCTCAGAGGCTTCCTGTCATTCTCTCACACAGCACGATGTCTGCTCTGCACTCCCACACGAGCCTACAGGGCCCTAACAGCGCCCCCCACGTGGCTATGGTTCCAGGTCACGCGAAGCAAGGACGTCTCACCCGGCTGGGGCCGTCCGCAGCAGGGGGCCTGCCCCCGGCCCAACCCAGCCTCCTGCGTCTGCAGACAGCCTGGGCTGGGACAGGGGGACGGTGCCGGAGAGGACTGGAGGAGCAGCACAGGGATGGGGAAGGGCCAAAGCGGAGACTCCTGACCCCCAGGCCCCTCCGCAGGAAGTGGGCGCCTCTCCCAAGTGGGGGCCCAGAACCTCAGCCACTGCTCATACTCAGGAGCTCATGGGCCCTGACCCAGCCTCCAGCCCCAGTACCCACACCCAAGCCGGCAAGAAGGGGGCCAAAGGCAGCCCCCCAGACTCTCAGCTGGCACTGCAGGGCAGGGCTTCCCAGGGGCTGGGGGTTCTGGTCACCCACTCCGTCTGGGGCAGGAAACAGAGTGACTGAGGACTCTGCTCACAGCAGAAAGCCCACTCTGTGCTCTGGCCACAGGGACAGCGCTCCCACATGGGCTCCTGCCTCCCTTGGCAACCCCCGAGCCCCTGCAGGCCTGCCAGGCCCCAGCTGAGAAACAGCCATCCCTGGGGGAGGGGGCCCAGGCCCAGGCTCTGCCCCACGTGACCTTCTCTGGCCCTCCCTCCCTTCACATGCCGGTGACCCAGACACTGGGGGGACAAGCGGGTGTCCCAAGAGGCCGGGTCCAGGCCTTTTCCTTCAAATCAAATCCAGACACAGAAATAAGTAAATCCTGCACTAAAATGTTTTGTTTTTGTTTTTTAAAAACAAGAAAGACAAAGCCTCAAGTTTGGGATACACGTGGGAGCCCGTCCATGTCTCCAGGCGGATGGGACAACCGGGACCCTCAAGGCCAGGCCCTGTGGCCAAGACTCCCCCATTTCCTCACCACCCCAGCCCTGTCCCCAGCCCAGCTCCTCCACCTCCGCAAGGCCAAGGCTGCCCCGGCGGCTTCAGGTCTCACCTGCTGGCAATCTGCCTGCCCCGCAGCCCTGTACCCCCTCCTACTAGCTGGCGAGGCCGAGGCAGAGCCAGCCTTCCTTCCGGGCCACCAGCACAGGCAGACAGAGCCGCAGGCCAGGCCAGGAGCTCATGCTGAGCCAGCGTGCAAGGAGAGACTGGCAGGGCCGTGGACCTGTGCCAGATCGGTCTCCCATTCCTGAAAACCCAGCATTCGGGGCCTACCTCCGACCTGGCCTCCCGGGATGCGGCTGGCCCTTGGACCCTGCTGCTCCTTGGCAGCCCCAACCCTGGGAAGGTCGCTCTAAGACACAGGGGAAACCGAGAGCCTTCCGACCCTGGCTCAGGAGTATGGAAGCTGGGAACGTTGCAGTACCAAGCCTGACCTGCACCCGGGCCCCCGTCCCCTTGCCCATGCAGTGTACACACCCACTACTCCCCCAGCCCGGGAAGCCAAGTGCAGAAGGCCCCCCACCCCAGGCCGGCCATGGGGTTGCGTGTCCACGGCCCTCCCCAGGCATAAAAGGCCGTGCTCCCCAACCCACCCCGTGCCATAGCCCCTGCCTCTTCCGCCCGTCCCCACCACTCACCGGATTACTAGGGCTGCCTCCAGCAGGCCTCAGGAGCCGTGTCTCAGTGGAAACCAGGGCCCTCAGCTTTGACCTCCACCCCACACCCCCAGTCAACAGACTCCTTTGTTTTCCTAGAAGCCAGAAGCAGGGAAAACACACATCCCCAGGATCAGAGGGGGTGGGAGAAGCACTGCTGCAGGGGCCAGGGCCCGGGGCACCTCCCGCCGGAGGGCCAGCTGGCGGGTGTCCAGGCGTCCGCCCTGTCCCCTGAGCCTCTCCTGCCCACGAGGGAAGCCAGGGCTGCTTCCTTCTCCTCTTCCCTCCTGCTCCCTTCCTGGGGAGAATTATTCATTTCCTCTCCCAGAAAAACAGCACCAACATCCTTCTCTTCCCTTTTTCCCACTGGAGTTTCTATAAAGGCGTCTCTGCCCCCATTCAGAGGCTCCCATGCTGCCTGTGTGTGGAGGGACCCAGGGGCGGAGAGACAGGCTGGAACAGAGCCCCTGAGGTCCAGCTCCTGTGCCAGCATGGGGGAGCTGGGACGGCCAGCCACCCCTGCTGCATGGCCCCATCCCTCACGTCAGGGCGAGCCCTGTCACTGTTTCAGGGGAGGCCAGACCTCTGGAACCACCTCTCTAGGGAGGGGATACTGCCACCTCCTAATCCCATCAACCCCAGCTGCCCACCTACCTGCACCACACCCGCCTGCCGGCCCACCTGTGTCTACACCCACAGGCCAGGAACAGCTCCTCAGACACTCCCTGCAGCCGGACTCCAGAGCTGTGAGTCCCATTTAGTTTCTGAAGCAGAGGCTTCACAGTGAGGCTCGCGTGTGCAGACACACGGCTCCCGCTCCCTCGCGTTCTACCAGGATCCCCCTCCCAGGGAGGCAGTGGCAAACCTCCATGAAGCAGAAGGGGAGACCGCGGCCCAGGGCACCAGGACAGGAGGCAGGACAGGAGCTACAGTCTCACAGATAACAGTCCACAGACGCCAGGGACCCAACGCCCAGCTCAGGGCCCACTCGGGAACAGAGAAGAAGGACCCAGAGCAAGGCCATGGCTATGGTGGGGCAGGACGTCTCCATGACGGGACCCTGGAGAGGCAGCTGAGCCCACAGACAGCAGCGCGTGGCTCAGGGCCACCCTCAGACCCCCTCCCCATGCCGGGAACCTAAGCACTGGTGGACAGCCTCACACCCTCTGCTCGGAGCCCCCCGAGCCATGTCCTCTTCAGACATGGCCACCAATGCACGGATTCGGGGTCGGGAAGGGGCACTCACGGGAGAGGCAGCCCTGGTCACCGGGCCGCTGGCTCCAGCCCGGGCAACACTTGAGCACGGTCTGGGCCTCCATGGCGTACACCTGCCTGTAGCCGGTGTAGTAGATGGTTCTAGAAAAGAAGGGAGACGGGAATCACTCACTGTGCAGACGCAGTGCTGGCGGCATCTCCCGACGCCCCGGGCCCTCACCCCACCCCTCCCTGCGCCGCTTCTCTGGCCCGTCCCGTTTCAAGCTCAGCAGGTTGAGGCTTACAGGCGGGTGGAAGGTCTGTGCCCCAAAGCAGAGCGGCACCCACGTGAAGAGGGACAGCAGGAGGGGGGCAGGCGACCGGCCCGCAGCCAGCAGCAAGGGCCCCGGCCAGCTCTCCCGGGGGGTGGGGCGGGTGCTACCCCGCTCCCTCTCCACCCCAGCTGCGGGCCCAGCTCCCCACATCTGGCTCCTATCACCAGGCCAGATCTGAGCACCGGGGGCCTGACTCGAAGTGCCCAGCTTAGGAACAAGCGGGGCTTCCTAGGGTCCAGCGCTGGGCGGGCTGTGACCCGGGTGGTGCCAATTCAGACCCCAGGTTCTCAGCCCACCAGGGCTCAGCAAGACGGCCCTAGGGCATCCGTGAGGAACCCCTTCCCCACCTGAAGAGCGTAGGGCTGAGCTGAGGAGACAGGGTGACTGGGAGAAGTGCCGTGGACAGCAGCAGAAGGACCAGAGCGTGACCAGCACACAGCCCTAAGATCAGAGGGGAGCGGATGGGAGGGCCTCTCGGGGGAGGCCTTGGACCCGGCCGGTTCCCACTCAGGATGGGAGCAGCTCCCACAAAGGCTAAGTAGAGAGAGTGACGGAACAAGAGGAAGAGAATGCCCCGTGGGCACCTGCAGCCTTCAGACCTGCAAGCCTGTGCCACCACTGTCTGTAGGAACGGTCCCCAGCAGCCGTGGGGTCAAGGACCCTGGAGCCCCAGGAGCAGCCCAAGGGCCCAGACCACTGTTTTCAGGTGATGTGACACCCTTCCGCTCGCTGGGGCTTGGCCCTGGGGAGTCGTGGGAAGCCCAGGGACCCCACAAACAAGCAAACAAGGCCACTTCCCGGAAGCATGAATTCAGGCGCTCCTGCCGCGCACGGCAGCTCGGGAGAGCTCTGCAAAAGGCCACTTTGGCAGGACATGAATCCACTCGCCTGGAGGGAAACCGACCACAGCAGTGGACAGTTTTTGGCAGAGCAAACAGTGTTTGGGCCCTTCCATCGTAAATATTTATCCCTCTCCCAGGGCTACGTGCCGCTCCTCACGGTCACCCGGAGAACAGAGACAACCAGACCATCTGCCACCTCCCCCCCACCCTCAGAAGTTACAGACCCTCCGAGACAGCGGGTGGGCCTACTGCCCCCTCGGGCCCCAAGAGCCAACCCCTTGCTCCGCTGCAGCCCACATGGGACGGCTCACGGGGACACGGCTCACAGAGGCGGACAGGTGCAACAGCTCACAGGGGACACATCACGGGGACTCGGGCCCAGCGGGGAGCTGGCTCACAGCAGGGTCAAGGGCGACGGGGGCACGGGGGTGCCGGGCTTGTGCACACATCTCCACCTTGTGCAGGCCCCTCAGAGCGTGGGCCACAGGGCAGGACACCTGGCGGACAGCCCGGGGGAGGGACTCCGTGGGGCTCCTGGAGCCTCCAAGCGCTCCTTCCTCCTCCCTTTGCATGGACCGTACCCCGCAAAGGGGCAGGGGCCTTCCACACAGCCAGGGGCTCCTCAGACCTGGCATGGCCCGTGCTGGCTGCTGATTTGTCGGGAAGATGCTCCCAAGGCACTAGGAGAGCCGCCCCAGACTGGCAGGTGGGGAGCAGGGGGCCGGGGGGCAGGGCCCGCCTCCCAGGGAAGCCGCAGCCTCTGTGCATTCCAGAAGGAGGAAAGGGAGTGCGCCAGCTCCAGCGGCTGCTGCCAGAGGACCATCTGGACGAGGCACTGGGGCAAGTGCCCGGAGCCAGCACGCGGGGCTCCGCTGCGGGATCACAGGAAGGGACACGACCCATTCACAGCCAGGAGCCCCACAGAAGGGAGGTGGGGCCAGGCCCAGTGAGTGCTTGGTGCGGGTCTCAGGAAACCCCACAGGACACCGCAGTGGTGAGACAGATCTCATTCACATGGAGTGGAGCGCTGGCGGGGACAGCCCGTGCAGGGCGGGGAGAGCCCCAGCTGCACTGCAGGCCACGAGACCCCACAGACCTCGCCCCCAAGCAGGCCAGGGACCCAAACTGTTCCTGCTGAACCCAAAGGGAGGGTCCCAGAGACCTGGAGCTAGGGAAGGTGGGCCTCTGCCCTGGAGCAGGAAGCCTGACAGAGACCCCACAGCCCCTGCCCCAAGTGACGGACAGCAAGGACCTCCCAGGCAGGGGGACTTTTCTCCCACGCCCCCAGGTGCCCCACCAGGACACTGAAGGCACCCGGATGCTTTGAAAACGCTGTTCCCACCCCACCCAGGCTGGGGGCCTAGGAGCCAGTGATGGGGAGCCTGGGGGCTTCTCAGCAGAGCTACCCACCCGACTCTCCAGCCCGTGCTCCCGGCAGCCTCACCGCTCACGGTGAAGTGGTAAGTGGCTGGGGGGACACAGCCCAAGCTGGAGACACAGCACAGGGGCCTCTCTGGGGAAGCACGAGGGGAGCCGTTTTCCTTCTGCTGGGGTTTCTCGGCCCCCGACAGTCCTGCAGGATCCCCGCCATCCCGAGCACCAGAGGACCTGGAGCAGCGTCCCCGGCCCCTGGGCTCACCTGAGGCAGTGGCCACTGTCCCCAGACACCGCCAAGCTCCCAGGAAGGGAGTTCACACCCTCCACGGACACCATGCAGGCCACTCCCGAAGGCTCCACTGCAGAGCTGGACACCACACCCCATCCGAGGCCTGTTCCCGCCTTCCCCACACCTAACCCGGAGGCCTTGCGGCTGCCAGCCAGGGAAGGGGCCCGCGCTGAGGCCCCCCCACCGCCCCACTTTGCAACCATGCAGATTCCAGAGCCCGAGTCTGTAAAATGTGGAGAGGTATGCAAAGGCACTCCTTAATTTGATTTTGAAATAAAATCTTGAGCAATAAAAGGCCTCGCGCCAGCTCCTCTGGGAATGAGGCCTGGGCTCGGCCTCAGCAGCCCCGCAGAGCCTAGCAGGCTGGGTGCCCCGCTTTGCATCTCTCGTGTGGTCCCCGCCTCCCCCCCAAGACCCCGCCCGCCTCAGAGCCCCCTCCCACAGAACCCCCTCCTCCCCCTCCTCCCTGCAGGGCCCCCACTGCTCCCAGAAGGCCCTGAGATCAGGACAGCCCCCCACCCTCGTCACCCCGCTCCCACACCGGACTCGGGGACCCCAGCACATACCTCCGCTCGTGGCGGACGCACCACGCCTGCCGCCCGCAGCCCACCTTCCACACGGGCACGGTCCGGCTGAAAGCCTGCACACAGGGCTGGGGGCGGCCCACCACGGTCAGCTCCCGTTCGGCACACACGTGGGGCCTGGGACAGAGGACAGACGTCAGCGCCCTGGCCACCAACAGCCAGGGGGCCCCAGTCCTCCTGCACACTCACGCTGGGGTGTGGAGCCGTCAGGGGGGGGGGAGTCCCTTGGCCCCCACTCCCCCCTGGTGGAGCCCTAGGCCCCACGGCAGGCCCCGGCTCTAGGGTGTGGGCCTCAGAGGAAGAGGGTCCTGTCCGAGAGTCCTCCAGGCAGGGCCCCCATGCCGCCCACAGGGGTGTTCTAATCCTGCTGACCCCAAAGGATAGATATCACTGCCCCCTTGAACAGGGTACTGGGGGGCCCGTGG